GGGTGTTCCAGAAAGTGGCAAAGAAGCAAATAACAAAATTTGTGGAAAATGTCCATTATATACCTAGGTTCAAATGTTTTGATATAAATATGTATCTGAATTGAAGATAAACAAAAACTGTACAAAATTATCTACAAATAAGCTTAAACAGTCATAAATAGTAAAATAATTAATAATCTACTGATAAAGTTGACATTTTCAAATAATGATACATACAAAATTTCACGAGATAATTCATATTAATTCTCTTTTTACATGTAATAGTAGTTAATTAAAATTTTTAGATAGAATGAAATAAATACCTAATTCTAATAATTGTTACTAGAATTGTTGTATACGTGGAATTGGTGATTGTTAATATTTAATTTATTAATCATACAAAATGCTATTATAAATATAATCCACCTAGGTTCATGTCAGGTTGACTCAACCCATTCCATTAAATTACTCGAGAAATGCTGCAAAATATTCGACATTTTCAACAAAGGCTCTATAATGAGGGCTATCGTTTTTAGGCTCACCAGTTGGCGCCACTGGTAAGTAAGGTATCTGTCAAAAGTTATTAGGCGCGGAATAAGTTTATAGGATTTTAATATAATTATTTCGTACACCAGTAAACAAAAAAAACATGTTAATTATGCCTCACTGTTGTTCGGAAACAAAAGGCGGACATATGCTTCCGAGAAACAAAACTCGCCTAAAACAGTGGTTGGTAGCGATTCGCGATAACTTTACTCCTTCGAAACATTCGTGTGATGAATGCTGAATATTTAGCAAAACGCACTATTGCACCATAACAATTATTTTGTGACACTGGAATAAAAACGTTATTAATAATTATTGTTCTAAATGATCTTGAGTTAGATTCCGGCGCCTGTTATTGAACATCCATTTGTAGTCTGAAAACGACCGTTCCACGTCTACAGACGTAACCGGAACGTATTTAAAATATGAAAGTTTCTCAAAAAAATCCACATTTACACTAGGATCAGAAAAATCCACATCTTTGTCTGTAAAAAGATCCACTGTATAACAGCGTGTAAGTTATAATTTATATAATATTGTGAAACATCCGATAAGTATTAAAAATCTGGATGGGCTCGGCTAATCACTTGCAGCATTGCGTATGTCTTCACAGTCGTTTCTGTGATTGATGACCATTCTGCATCTAATGAATAGTTGCATATTTAAAATGGTGTCTGACATTCGGGACGATACATTAAAATTTTGTCAGCAACGGAAAACTCCTACGGGGCGTTGGGATTCTAGAGGAAAAATCAACTCTATATCCCATACGATCCGAGATATTTAGCATTTTATGTCAAAATTAGAGTTGAAAGAAGTAAAATTGAATATCTTATTCTTTATTGCATATTTTACCGGCTCGGTGGAGTAATTGGTCAGGGCACACGATGGCAAGTGTGATTAGATAATCTCTCTATCATCCTGCGGGTTCGAATCCCACCACCGACACTGACAATGTTGATGGGAATGTTGTGTGCTCGCGTTTTTCATAAGTGTAACCCTCTCCCGTGCAGCTTCGGTTTTGGATTCGGGGGTTGTCTAATTTCTGTGGTGTTTATTATATAGGAAGTTGGAACTTGTTTTATTCCATTCGCCGGGAAAAATCCTACGGTGTGTTGGGGAAAAATTTAACCTTCTACCTCCCGTACAAACAGAAATATTTAGTATTTTATTAGGGTTGAAAGAAGTAAAAATTGAATCTCATTCCCTATTGCATATATAGGGGGTTGAAACTTGTTTTATTTGATTCGCCTGAAAAAGTCCTGTGGGGTAGTGTGGTTCTAGGGGAAAAATTAACCTATAGATTTAACATGTTATCGTTTTGACACAAATATGGTGTAGCATTTATGATTTAAGAGTCATCCTGCGCACGCCACTGTGCATCTACACAGGCAAACGCCAACCAGATAACTAGAAAACAAATGAGGGCTACCGTTTTTAGGCACACCAGTTGGCGCCACTGGCGACTAAGATTGCTGTCAAAAGTTATTGTAAGGCGCGGAACAAGTTTATAGCGTTTTATTATAATTATTTCGTACACCAGTAAATAAAAAAACTTGTTAATTATGCTTCAGTGTTGTGCAGTTCCATTTTGTTCGGAAACAAAAGGCGGACATGTTTGCGAGAGACAAAACTCGCCTAAAACAGTGGTTAGTAGCGATTCGCAAGGATACCTAACGTTACTCCTTCGAAACATTCGCGTGTTTGTAAGAAACATTTTAATCCTGACGACTATGCGTTACTAAAGGAGCCTATCACAGAAAATCGTAAGTAATAATCATGCACACTCGCTGTTTTCATCATGCTCATACTTGATATAACCTAACTTTAGTGACATAAGACACCTCTGATAAGTACAATAGTTTCCCTACTGAGCAAATGAATTACTACGTTCCCTTTCTGTCATCATTGTGTTAAATGTTTTTCAGCTAATTTTCATATAAATCACTAAAAGCCCGCGTCAAGACATAATAAACATTAACGTTCAGTGACATTTACCTTACCCTACACTAGCGCCTCTCGTGGTGAATTCAAGCGCGGTAGCCCTCATTGCATGGAAATTGGTGTGGGACACTTCGAACATTTAATCAACTGACACGTAAAGGTGCGTATAGATTAAGCGAACGAACACTGATTACCAAACTAGCGCCGAATTCCGAAGGCGAATTTGGGCAATGCATCGATGAAACAAATGAGAACCGAACGTTCTGTTCGCCTTCGTATGCGTTCGCTCCGAGAGCGGTACATCAAAAAAATTTTGTGTTCACTGTGGACGTAAACATAATAAAATCGATGTGAAGTCCGAACTCCGAACGAAAACTAACAAATCAGTTGTGTTAATTATTTCGAGGGCCACCAGACAAACATGTGTCAGGCGTTGATCATCAGCAAAACTGGTTTTGAAGCGTACGCATAAAAATGTAAAATGAAAAACAACTCTCCGATACTTTTAATATTTACTCAGCAACTATGATACCTAGAACAGCTCACGTGGTACCATTTTGTTTGTAATTTAACGTAATTTACCCTTTCATTTTGATAACTGCCTTCTAATTTGATACATTTAATATTAGCCGAGTTATTTGTGAAGAGCTAAAAGGGAAACACTTTCCAAGACGTTTGCTTTTGTTTTCTTAAAATATTTTCTTCACCGTCTCTCAAATCGCCGAAGTAACCACCGGAATATCCTTGGATTTAGTGTTGGGAAAGAGAGACGAGGCCCTACAGGTTATTGTGGAGTCCGAACCAAATCTAGGGTATCGACAGATCCTTCTCACATCCTAGTTTGAAACAAATTACAAATAAAATTTCCAACTTGCTCCAGAATGGAATCGAACCATCGACTTTCGGTACCGTGTAAATTGCTATAAGCGCTTTACCCACTCAGTGACCATGCTCTAATTCAATTCAATTCAAAACAATTTTATTAACAATTAAACAGAAAAATGTATATGGCCCTCGCCGCCGGTCCGTTACTGACCTAGCATCACCGCGTATGGTGGCGACGGGGCAACTGTTAGGTCGGGCGAAGCTGGGCCGGTCCGGGCATAAAATTAAAACATTAACAACAAATACAGCACCTAAAAAAACATTTATAATAACGCCGAAAACGAGAAATCGACGACGCATGCAAAAATAATACATAAAATTGTACACATTTCTGTATAAAAATGTTGAATTTTGACGATGGTTCGACGAGGTGAACTGTCACAGTAAAAAGCTCGCCTTTAAACAATGCTGAATTAGGAAGCGGGAATATTCAACTCCGCTTATTTTTGGGTATTTAATGATATTTCGTGTAAATAATTTACTGATGGTTAGCTTATAATTTGGAATCAATTTTGTGAGGAATTTTGATAACAAAAAAAGAACGAAATGAAAAGAAGAGAAAGCCAGCATACTCCGGTTTCCGATAGCCCCTGCACCCTCGAAAATCCCTATCCACAAAGTTTCATTTCTATTTTATTTTGCATAATTTAAATTTACAATATACTTATATTTTCTTGGTAATTACACATAAACAATGTTCACATGAAGAACTTCCTGCTTTTTGTTAAAAACATTGTGTAACTTAATTATCGCAAAATATAAATGTTGCCAATTTCGTTTCTACGAATAATACACCTTAGTATATTATTATCCTGTATATCAATTACGCTATTATTCTTGCTAGACAATAAGATCTCCAAGTTTTGTTTGCATTACACGTTTCCATGTACAAGTATACTACTTAGAAATTAGTCATCAAATGGTGCGATTACCGTTAATTTTAAATCGGTCAGGTGGAAATAAATAATGCTTTGGGATTCTGATTGATTTAAAAATGATGTCGATTACAAGAGTTCTTCAGAATTTAAATAAATATTAAGTGTAAGGAATTAAAAGAGAAAAAATGTACTTTTTTTTTCTTGGCGTACACAGGGCCCGTTACTTTTAAGTCGGTCAGGTGGCAATAAATAAAGCTTTGGGATTCTGATTGATTTCAAAATTATGTCGATTACAAGAGTTCTTCAGAACTTAAATAAATATTAAGTGTAAGGAATTAAAAAAGGAAAAATGTACTTTTTTTCTCTTGGAGTACACAAAGCCAAATGGGGTCTCGGTTTCCGAGTCCCTGGGGCCCACAAACGGTTGAAAATAATCGTTGTTATTTATAATAAAAAAATGCAATTACAAATTCGCAAATTTTGGAGATCTTCCACGTTTTGAATATGGGTAGTACAAACGAGTGCTTTTAGAAGGCCCCATAGAAAAAAATCTAAGAAATTAACGTCTGGTAATCTAGGAGGTCTTGGTTGTGGTCCTCATCACCCCATCCAACGGCCTATATATGTTCTATCAAAAAGTTGCACAGTTAAGGATAAATAAACGTAAACACCACAGAAATTAGATAACCCCCGAACCAACAGCCGAAGTAACACTGCCGAGAGTTACACTTATGAAAAAACACACACCATTCCCACCGACATTGCCAGTGCCGCTGGCGGGATTCGAACCCGCAGCTACAATGGAGATTATCGCGCGCTCTAGCCAACTACACCCAGTTGGCAAGAGCACCACTATGCAAAACCCACACTGGTCGTATTGCAACATCAGTTAGTTTTCTAAAAAGTCGGGATAATTATTTTCAATAAATTGGCGCCATCAGACTTTTAGGGAGAAAATATGATCCAACCGAACAATCGCCAAAAATTCCTACCCAAACTTTCACAGAAAATTGCACCAAACTCTTGTTTCCACTATAGCATGCCAGTTGTGGGTCCACATTAAGGAATCAGTTTCACTAAATGTAGAAACTTTTACTTCACCCCTGGACACCCTGTATATAAACTTAAATCTGAATAGCCATTTAAGGGTTTTAAGTACAGCAGAATTTATTACATAGATTGACTTTTTTTCGTAAATGATTAAATAGAGGTTTTTCCTCTTGGCAACCCCCATCCCTGGACACAATGTATACTTAGACCTTATCTGTGAAGTAGGTACCGAATGTGAACTATCAAGTAGATAATACAGTCTGAATAAACTTATGACATTTTCAAGTACAATTTTTTCAGATTTCTTATTTGTTCTCTGTTCGTGCTCGTTTATTCTCGTTTCCTCTCTGGAACGTTTTCCAAAAATAAATTATCAAGAATTTGACATCAATACGTTGATGAAATAATAAAAATACACTTACACCGTTATCAATTCAAATTATTGCAAAAATTAGCCAAACAAAAGGAATATGCCTAAACAAAAAATATGAGTCACATTTCTTAAAGAATAAAGAAAGAACTCTCTTTCTTTTTCTTACTTACATCTATTTATAAAAAACCCAATTATTTGTATACTGAACTATACCTGTTTTCTTTTGTATTATTTTTATAGTACTTGCATTTGGAGTCCAAACATTAACACACCGCAGTGATGTTTCCCAAACAACATACTCAGTTTCATACTAAACTAAACTAGTTTAGTATATTTCTTTCTGCCAACCTCTTCCAATTTGAATGTATGAGTATAATTTTGATTAATACATAAATCATTGTATTTTGAGCGCAACGATAATCCTAATTTGGTTTCAGAACAACTTACTAATTTGTTGTTAATCACACCAATGGATACTTAAAACTTATTTATATATTTCACTAACAGCCAGCTCCAAATTACTGTTAACTCATTGATTAGTTGCAAACATGGAAAGAAAATATCTCAAAGATAACTAAGAGGTCCAATAACACCGCAAAACATTAGATTACTGCAAAACAACGGCCCACCTATTTTCTTATAATGTAGTCGGCAAACAACTTTTCAGTGTCACATTTTCTACATTTAATTTTAATAAAAGTACTGCAAGGGTCAATTTTATTAAGTACTCCATGAGGTGGTATTTATCCAGAAAAACGTTTTATTTTTCACAAAATCAGCATAAATTGGCATTAGTAACAAGTTTTCTAAAAGCAAGAATACAATAATAGAAGTACCCACACCAAAAACCGATTTCATTATCGCTTATTAACTGATTTTATTTTAATATAAATAATTATAAGAAAATATAGTTTTCATATACATATTTTTTAGGTTTAAAAAGTTTACATATATAAAATAAATTGTTGATTAACGAAAGAACAAGGATATTAGATAAGAGTGTAATCTAAAGTGACAGTATGAGCTAGAGTGTCTACATTAGATAGACGAGACAAAAAATTCTGAGCAAGTTCGACAAGCACAAAATCTAAAAAATAGTATTAAATATGAAAGAACCCGATATATTTAACGTCACCCAGAATGCTTTTGAGAACGGCCATACACTACTAATCAGCATAGGTCTAACCATCTCAAGATGATGCCAAGATAAATACCAAACCACATGTCGAGAGCAGTATACTGTGTTTTAGCATTTGTTCTCAGTTTTAAAATAAAACCAATAACTTCTTCAATGTTTTATAGATTTACTAATTAATATTTTTTTTCTAAATATTTATGAGCTATTCAGAATTACATCAAGTTTCTTTGAATCATTCGCATTAAAACTATTTAAAATACAGTATTATCTAAATTAAATGTCTGTAAGTATAAAAATGAGTTGTAAAAATCAACAATGGTATCTAACCTTTAAACTAAATATGAACGACATAATTTTCTTAACGTTTGGTTAATGCAAATTTTTAACTACATCACTGTATAATATGCAAAAACCATCGTAATGCCATACCACATTTATTTTAAAAAATCATGCATCAACTTAACTTGAATAAAATTAGGTAGTTTTTTATATAAATATTGCAGAGGATTTTTCAGACATGCTTGTGTGATGTGATATGTGATAGTCATGTTTATCATATCAAACATCAGTTAATTACAATTTGAGTTAACCTAACCTAACTTTTAAATTGTAAATTAATTTTAACAAGTGAAGGATATTTCAGCAATGATGTAAATAAAATATTACAATGTAGGGCAAGTAGGTAATAAATAAAATAAGTAACATAAATTAATCAAGAAAAAATTTTGTAATACCTACCTAAACTTTTATCAAATTATCAAAGTTCTGTTTTATTTACTTAGGCAAAAATATTACCTAGCATGTATTAATAAACACCTGTTAACTCATTCTAAGCAATATTTATTTTGATAAGATGATAAAGCTAGGTATCGAGTATGAAAACAGAATAAAAATATTTTTTTATATACCTAAATCTTGGCTATAAACAAGATAAAGAAAAAATAATGATTTATTTAGGCACTCACCCTTCTATAGGAAAATAACTCTTTTTGTAATTTTTGTCTTTCTGCAGATTGATGTGGTTTAGCCTTTATAAACTTAAACATTTTCAGACAATAATATTATCCCCTAAAACAATAAATAATTATTATTAAATTTAATAACAGTTAAAACAATTACGAAACATACAGAACAATTTACGTGTGAATTCCAAAACAGTTTTGATTAGATGAAATATTTACAAAATTATGTCAAAACAAAACATTTATTGCATATGTCAATTTCTACTTTGTTAGATTAGCCAACGCCTGCTCGAAAACCATCTAATAAAAATAAAGGAAATCAAGGTAACTACAAAATCTCTATGAAAACTTTTAAATAACGATTGTAATAGCTACCTTGCACTATAAACTTCACTTTAAATTATAAATAATACGAATAAATCACTGCACACTTCACAAGAGCGTGCCCAAACGCTCGAACTGCATTACACGTAGTTTGGTCACTGACCGGCAGAATATGAAAAATAGGCGGAGTTCGACAGTTGATGTATTTGGTTATTACCAATTGAGAAAAATTGTTTCATTATTTTGTTACCTGATGTACAGATGGCAGGACATGCTGGATATATTTCTCTCTCACATAAAAAATTGAACGTTGACAGTGGCGTAGACAAAATGAGATACTTCCTGTGTACGTATTTTCCAGAAAATAAGAAAACGTGTCCTTATTTTCTTAACGTGAACATTACATAAAACAAACAAACAAATTGGCATCGTACCGCTGCACACTAATAAATAACAATTTTCCAAATCAATGGAACTTATTAACATCAGTGTAAGCAGGTCCTTTGGAGTATTTAAATTTAAAATCTAAAACTTGCTACATATTTTTTATATTTTAGAGTATTTTCATATTGTCTTAGTATTAAAGATGCTTTTAATGTTATATCGGCTCAGTGGTGTGGACAGTGGCGCGTGTTTCCACTCAAGTGTCCCGGGTTCAAAACCGGATAGGTATAAGTGGTGAGCGGACTTGCCCACGTCACCATCTTTCGAAAAGATGTGGGGTTCTGTGTATCTGCGATGTGAGCACGTAAAAATCCCCACCCCATGACAAAGGACAATATCAGACAAAAATAGACAATAAAAATATATGAAATTAAAGAGGATAAAAATCATTCAAATGCAGGGGAAAAATGTGTAAAAAAAAAGACGTTACAATAAATAGTTACATTTCCCATTCTCTTAGTAAAAATAATCGTTTTCTCAGTGAAAAATGCATTGAAATTGAAAAAGGTTGGTATGATAGAAGATTGGTTACACCACTGCCTACATCGACACCAGGTCTGTTCGTTTGTTACTTCTGCTAGAAGAGAATAAATGTTATGAGAAACCTGTGGAAAATGTTGTAAAATACCGGTAAACTTTATCGGATTTTCAATATTTTTTTCTTTTTAGTGAAAGTGGCAATGAACTTTATTATACATATAAAAGTAAACAGGACTGGTACACTTTGAATTAAAGTACTAATAATAAGAACTACTTATTATGTACATTATTTATATTTATATTAAATTCGTTTGTGTATGAGCGATTTGTTCAATCGTGAAATGAATTTCATTTACCTATTAACATTTAAAATATAAAAATCATCTCATATTGTTTTTTAAATGGTGTACAACATTAATGTGAATGTTTGTTCACTTCATCTATATTTGACTACAAAAATTTGCTTTTTTTTTTGCTCGAATATTCACTGGTGCGAGAGCACATCATAAAAAGTGTTGAAGTACAGAATTAGAAAACAAACTTATCATTCAAACAAAATATAGTATATGCAAGCAACAAAACACACACTGTATATCTGGTTGCATAATAAAAGAGAATCAAAAGAAAAGCAAAACCGGAGTTACACGACTAAAAAAAAGTGCATTATACTTAAAATCTAAGAATTACATCTACTATAACATGATTTTTCACAGGGTCCTAGCTACTGTTGTTTTAACGGCATCAACTGTATCAATGAGACCCCACTAGGTGCATAGGAGGACCACCAGCTCTGAATCTTTGTTAGTTACGTTAAAGTAGTCTTTGGTTAGGGTTACCAGCCGTATTGTTTAAAGAGTACATGGCACTCTTTTGGAGCTTCAAATATTACATACTCTTACTTTTTTATTTCAGGCCCAAATGTACTATTTTCGATTAACAATAACAAACTTAAGTCAACATACAACAATTATTATTCTCATGAAATTAACGAAGGATTCAACACTACTCGTATCTGTAAGATAATTAGTAAGTTTATCCAGAGATGCTTATAAGTATAATTTCCTGTATTAT